TAAGTTTTCTTGATTTTGTAAAACTGAGATCTCTTGATTTTGTACAACTGAGAGTTCTCGATTTTGTACAATTGAGATTTCTTCATTTTGTACAACTGAGGTTTCTTCATTTTGTACAATTGAGATTTCATTAGTTTGTGCAATCGAAGTTTCTTTAGTTGGTGCAAGTGAGATTTCTTCATTTTGTACAACAGAGATTTCTTCATTTTGTACAACTGAGGTTTCTTCATTTTGTACAACTGAGATTTCTTCATTTTGTACAACTGAGATTTCTTCATTTTGTACAACTGAGAGTTCTTCATTTTGTACAGCTGAGGTTTCTTGATTTTGTACAACTGAGATTTCTTCATTTTGTACAACTGAGGTTTCTTGATTTTGTACAACTGAGATTTCTTCATTTTGTACATCTGAAATTGCTTTTTTTTCTACAGCTGGTTTTGCAGTTGGTTTTAATATTTTTTTTGGCCTGCCTAATTTTAACAAAACATTTGTAATGTCAAATATGTAGTACAAATTAAATATTGAACTAAAATACATACCTCTTTTTCTTGGCGCTGGATTTGGTGAGGCATCTTCTGCTGGCTTTGGTTGACCATCTTCTGGTGTCCATGGATCTTGAGATTTTTTCGTCCTTTTTAACTTTCTACAACTTTTCCTACATTAAATAAAAATAATTAAATTTTTTTTTTAAAATAAATGATGATAACTGATGAGTAATAATCAATAAATATATTACCGTCTAGATTCTAGTCTTTCTTTGTGACCTAAATTTATGGAATTAACCTCTAACACATCATCTTCTGTAACCCATTCATCCCATTTTGCTTTGAAGCGCATATAATGCACATAATATTCAAGAATCCCATCATTCGATATGCGTCGTTTCATACACTTTGCATGATAGAGCACACCATCAAAGTAGACAAGAACATTTTGACCTATTTAGAATAAAACATTACAATTCAAAAATTAGAAACAAATTTATGCAGGATTTATTCGATTTGCTTTTGATCCGACATATTTTATAGCCGGGCTACCAGGGAACAAATGTTTGACATTACTATTAAATTTGAATTTGAAAAATCAAAGTAAAAATATTTTAATATGTTAATACCTGTTACTATATGGAAATTAATTGTGTTATAAATTAAACATTTAAACATTTTTATAATAAACCCTAAATTTACTAACAATCAATGTTAATTATATCAATCAACAGACGACAATCATCATTGACTGGTACCTAATGATACTGTAAAATAATATTTATTTATAATAATGTCTATATTCCTACATATATTACAAACCGCAAGGAATATCAATGCTTTTCCTATACCAATAAAAATAATATTTTCAAAGCCTAAGTTAATAGTAAATTTAAATAAACTAAACACATACACTGTAAAACAAACAATTATTATAGTAAAAGGGATGTTATACCAATATGTATTATTTCCATCTTACAAATACGTAACATAACAAATGTTATGGTCACAGATCACTTTTAGCTCCATTAGTTTAAAAATTAGAATGAATTTACCTATTATGAAACTTAAAGGTAAGATTATTATCTAATCAATKCTATAGGCTTTTTATTATATTTTAATTTTTAAAGCGTGTTAAGAGTATTTCAAAATTTAACTATTTGTACATCTTAAAATACTTACAACTCACTTAACAAATAAAATATAAATATAATAGATAAAAAGCTAGATAATAATCATACTTTTAAAATGTATAAGAGATCAATTCATTCTAATTTTTAAGCTAACGGAGCTAAACATGATCTGCTGGGCGTAACATTTTCAATGTTAAGTACTTGCAAACTGTAGAATAAATAATTAATAAATTATACACCAGAACTTATACAAAAAAAGTATGATTTACTTGTTTGAATATTGTCACTGTTGCATATATTTTGAGATATGTTAGCTCTTGATGATGAAAAACATTTATTATATAGGTACCTAGTTAATTAGTGCCATATTACAAGCACATAAATAATATTAATGGTTGAAACTTCCTAGATTTAATTTTAGAAATTTATTGATAGGTACACCTAGGTAGTTTTCAACATGACTAAATAGATAGKTATGATCACAAAAAATTAGTTTTTGTTCGGTTGGCGCATCTCCCACAATTCTAACCACAAAACCATTGCTCATGGTTCTCCGCATTTCATTGGCCGGCAATATTATTGCCACCAAAATACAAAACTTCATTATTTATTATYGTATTTAATGATAATGTAACTATTAAAAGTTAATTTGTTAATGATTTCGATTTCGTTTAAAATTTTTTCGACACAATTTTAAAATGCCTAAGTGTGTATTCGAAAGTTGTTMCAGTGGCTGTTGGACAAAAGGAGTTTTCTTAAACAAAACAATAGTGTTGCATTGATTCCCCAAAAATGATGAAATGAAGTTGTTGTGGCAAAAACAAATTAACAAAGATGTGATTAATTTTGATTCTGGTATTAATGGTTTTTTATTCACTTCTAATTACTATACCTTCAACTTTCAAGTACATAAAATTATTTTTTATTATTATTTAGCTATAGTTTGCTCATTACATTTCAAACCGTATCATTATAATCTTCCAAAAAAACATTCTACCACTAAAAACTATGCTCGTTTACTTAAAGATGATGCAATACCTTTGAAGTAAGTACTAAGTATAGTAATGGATGTATWGYATTTAATATAATCTGTAATATTTATTGTTTAAAAACATTTTTATTTTTTAAGTTCTTATGGAGTAGATTTCTATAACTTGCCTATACATAGAACATTTACTTCTGGTACTCTTATTTCGACAGAATTATGGACTCCAGCTGGAAGGTTTTCTGTGTATGAATATTTAATATTATTATTATTAATATTAAACATTATTTATATTTTATTAAATTATAATTAAATGTTTAGAGGAATGTTGCCTGATGAAAACATATCAGAAACATAAAAAAAATGCTGTGTATGATTATTTAATTATGAACATGATTTAGGTCTGGGTGCTAAAGCCTCTTACAAATGATGATGATTTGATTTTAAGGTAAGAATAATAACATAAAATCAATMAATTAGTATTAGTAAAAATTAATAATAATTAAAAATTATTCCATAGACCTATAAAGGAGTAGGTATAAAAGTAAATAGTAATACAATTTAGTTTATAGGTCTATGATTACTTTCATAAACCCTTGTGTCTTTACTTTTCTAATATTTTTGTTTATTTATTGTTTGCATGTGAAACTGTGTCAGATCAATTTATCCAGACTTTTAAAGTATTGGACTATGAATCATCATCAATACTTAACTATTTTTGTTGTAGACTGTAGTTATTGTTATTACTAATTAGTATTATTATTATTGTCATTATTAATATATATTATGTTAGTATTATTAATATATTAGTTATTTATATGTTAGTTACTTGGATCAATTAAGAAAACATACTTGTGTGTAATTAACTGAATTAATCAATAAGAGGTGTATTGATATCAATAAAAATATTTATATTACTTAAAATTGTGTAATTTATTATAATATTAGATTAAAAGATGATGTTCAAAACTGAAAGAAGAAAATGAATGTCTTCTAATTAAAAATAAGTGRTATTAGGATTTTATTGATACAGAATGTAATCGCTTTCAAAGTAAATTTGGTGAAATGTTATCAAAACTTTTCACACCAACCCAAATTGATTTAATACTAAATCTTAAAAAGTATACCATTGGACACCCGAAAGAGCATTTCTCCAAAATCATATCGCTACATGATAAAAAAATAATATCCATTGCCAGGTGAAATTATTCATTGAACTATATTTTTTATTTACACTTTTATAAATATAAACCATAGGTCCAATTATGTTATTAGCTCTATCTAGTATCTACAATCAGAAGATGGGTTTCTAATTTTTCAATTGAAGAGGGTATTTTGACGTCTGTTTTATTTCTCATGAAAGCAAAARGTATATATTTTTAATTTTTATTGAGCTATATCATAATTTAAAAAATTTTAAAACAAACTTAATTATGTTTGTTAGCTGAACTTATGAGTAGGTACTTCTGATAAATTAACAGTCATTAGTTTTGATGAAACATATGTTTCAAGTAGAATTTGTTTTGAGGAAAAAAATTAACGGGACCACACAAATGTGTGCAAACTGTAATGGCTAGAGGTACTTACCTACTTTTTTTTTATTATTTTATTTTGTATAACAGTTGATATATATGTTTGCAAAATTATATGAAAAGGTTTAGTAAACAATTGGAAGCAACCAATATTCTATTACTTTGATACAAAAGTAACAAAAAAGCAATTATATTATATAATTGAGAAATTATACAGTATTGGATTCAATGTACTTTCAATGATGAGTGACATGGGGTCTTTGAATGTCGGTTTATGGAAAAGTTTAGATGTGTCGACAGAAAAGACTTYTTTTGAACATCCTATAACTAGAAATAATGTATATGCTTTTGCGGATCCTCCACATTTATTGAAGTTGGCTCATAATCACTTACTGGTTAAGTGAGTAGTTCACACTTCATTTTTTATAGTACAAATTGAAAATTATTAAAATATTATATTTTATAGAGGATATATACTCAGAAATGGACATTTTATTGGGAAAAATATTTTTGAATTGTTATTAAATCATGACTATAARTTAGCATATGAAAATGATCGTTTTACCGCTCAAATATTATTATCATCTTTTAATGATTCTTCCTTCATGCTAACAACGAAGCCAACATTGAAGGGAATGTAATTATACTGTTCCAGAATCTAATTTTCAGCTACTAAAACAATTTGAAGCAATTTTACAAATTTATCACTTTCCTTTTTATAATGCCTAGGTTCTTACTTTAAATTTTTATTACTTTTACATAGCTTAGAAATGTATTGTTTTAGATTGATACTGAAAATTGTGAAAAACCAGTATTTGATGATATAGAAGAAGGGTGTGCTCAATATGTTGCTGGTTATGTCGCTAATCGATATTCAAATAAATATCCCYATTTATCACAAATAAATTGTAATGATACAAATAACTGGACAACCTACATTTCTAAAGGACATTTGACAATACCTTCAGAAAATCTTTTTAAAGCTGTTCTGCAAATATAACACAAATTTAAAATACTACATGGTGAAAATTTATCAAAATCCTTATATGTTTTTAAAACATTATATGAGATCACTAAACCTAAAATTGAAAAACTTAATGTACCTGATGAAGTATTACATTGTCTTATTAGAACACGAACATACATCAGATTAAATAATWTAAATAAAAAATGAATCACAAAACAACAAAAACAATCAGACAAACTGAAAAAAAGGAAATTTACAAATTAATAATTATGTACACCTATATTAACCTATGTGCATAACAGGGCCRGATTGGTATATATCAGCCTGTCGAGATTTTCACTTCTAAGCGGCACATTTACATATTCACTGGCCCAAAATTTGGGTCTCTATTATTTTTTATT